TTTAAAAAAAATCAAGAAATACAAGGAACAAACATACGTAAATGCTAGGCAGCAATTCGATACGGGGCACTAAAAGCAAATAAAATGATTCAAATTCTTTATTTTTTCTCTTAAACTGCTGCACCAAAATTGTTGTCCAATTTTATATATTAAACAGATTTTACATCCTTACTTGCGTCACCAGCTTGAGACTGTTGCTCCTCTTCCGACATAACGACACTTTAGGTTTCCAGACAGCGAAAAAAAAACACGTCCCACTCCTTGGAAGTTGTTTGTCGACTCACGTAGAGTCCTTGGGGGCCGGCATCAGAAGTAGAAGTAGAAGAAGAAGAGTCCTTGACAAAAGATGTATGAACTCAGACCCGATAATCTGAGACTAGAAATGATTGAAGCCGCTCAGTAAAAGAAGTGGCATCAAAACAATAATCTGAGTCCTCAACTAGTTTGGATGCCGATTATTGAAAATGGCACTGTACAAATGCATGCTGAATTTTCCCCCAAATTATACGCAAATCGTAAGTTTTACTTGCACTCATTGAAAAAAATCACTTTAAAGCCCAACACCTTAAAATTAAATAAAAGGAAATGATATGGAAAAGAAGAAAATGCTTAGCATTCTTTTTTAATAATTGTTACTTTTCAAAGTTTTACATCAAAGAACAAAAGATGCAAGTACCGAAACAGATTTGAACACGTTGTCGGTTATTTCTAGAAGATTTGCGAACAAATTAGTGATAAAACGGGTATTCAACATTATATTGACATTTTTACACGTTTGTTTGGAAATTGTAATGGTTTATTTTCAACCACACACCACCATCTTCTTGCCACCAGCTTGTTAATCCAAAATGTAGTATTTAAAAACGTTTACCGCTACTTGTCGTTTTTTACGCCCGCAATGATTGTCTGGCTACCAGAAGGTCACTTGGATTACTTTATCAGAAGAAGTCCACTCTTTGTAGATCTTGTGAGAAAGATGAATTTTTTTAGAATTTAGACTGGAGTCGTGGATACATTGTTTTTATAATGTGCTACAGTGAACAATGCCCAATTGATTGTACATACACATGGTAAGAAACAATTGGTTCCAGATCTTAACGGCTATTGACACTGACGTCGCGACCATGTCAATTTCACTACATGAATGTTGCACACGTACGTAACAATGACACGACAGGGACCTCTGTCGTCCTACCCAGACTCACACACACACTCACTCACTCACTTACTTACTCATTCTCTGACTCACTCATTCACTCACTCACTCACTGACACACTCACTCACTTACTCACTCACTCACTCACTCACTCACTCATTCACTCAATCCCTTGATCTTTTGCCCACAAGCTGCGAGATATATTGTGTACATTTATGTAATGCGAATGTTGGAGAAAATATCTTACGGCGTTATAGATTTCAATAGAGTTCCACGATTTCATACCTTTGCCTATTTGTATACAATGAGTGTTATCTCTGCCTAAATGTACGTAAATCCATTAATAACGTTAGCGTGGAATTTATTCAATTCAAGAAGTGATATATCTCATGACGGCTTAAAATGAACGTAATGGGTTTGCCCGGAATCGTGTCTTAGGGATTTAAAAAAAAATGACCTTGATTTGGAATTATGAGCGATTGAGTGCGAAAATGTTTTTTTTTCACAAATTTGTTGGCAAAAACTATACTTCAAATCAAAAATTCCTAAGACTTGATTTTTCATTATATTCCTAGACGTCAAAACTGTTAAAATTGGTGACTTAGAGTAATATACGTAGCCAATCTTAAACGGTGTTTGCCTAAAAACATAACTCGGGCTGGCGCTCCGAATCCAGACAAAAATCGTCTTTTGGAGAGAGATTAAAAAAAGTAATTTAGCGTAAAACTAACATTAGAACTATGTCAAGACGATTATTTAATTTTACTTTGACGGAATTTATCCTTCAATACTATTTATATATTTCTAAATGTTTTACGGGTAGTCCAAAACAACGCACATATATAGCAATGGAAACGTATAGCGTAGTAACAGACCGCCGTGCACAGTTAAAAATTCAAAGGTCGCCATTGAACCATAATAGTTCTTTTTTATTGTAAAAAAAACTACAAAAAGCACAAAATCTAATGCATTATCAATGACTGACAGCAGATATATAGCAGTGGCAACAAACTAGACAGCTATTAGTGGCCCCCAAAGACAGAACCCCCAAAGAACAAAAGTGTGGCGTGATTTACCACATTCGGTGCGCAGGTCAAAATATCAGAGGACCTTGCCCAGAGACATACATAGGGGAAACAGAACGGTCTCTCAAGAATAGATTTTTGGAACACAGGCGCCTTAGTTCAAACACATCGGAAGTGTCGCAACACATACACATCGAGTCCCCCGGACATAAAGTAACATTGGACAAGGTGCGCATTCTAGATACGGAGCAGGATTACTTTGTGAGAGGCGTGAAGGAGGCAATTTACATCAGGGCCCACCAACCCTCTCTGAACCGTGATGGTGGGAGATACCGTCTTCCCGCCACTTTTGATGCACTCCTGACGTCATCACGTTTCCGACTTCCGGAAAGTCAGCGACTTCATCACAAATCTGACGAAGGTTGACGGGATCAGCCGAAAATTTATGGTGAGTTCTCCTTCTTGTGTTAGAACAAGTCAAACTCTTTAACAAACTGTTTCCTTGTTACAGTCTTGATTGTTACAGTGGTATTAAACTGTTATATCGTTACAGTCGTGATTGTCACAGTGGTATTAAACTGTTACATTTGTTACAGTATTGATAGTTACAGTAGTAATAAACTGTTACATTGTTAAAGACGTGATTGTTACAGTGGTATTAAACCGTAACATTGTTACAGACGTGATTGTTACAGTGGTATTGAACCGTTACATTATTACAGTCGTAATTGTTAAAGTGGTATTAAACTGTTACATTGGTATAGTCGTGATTGTTGCAGTGGTATTAAACTGTTACATTCTTACAGTCGTGATTGTTACAGCAATATTAAACGGTTACATTGACCATTGTTACAGTCGTGATTGTTACAGTGGCTTAAACTGTTACATTGTTACAGTTGTGATTTTTACAGTGGTTTAAACTGTTACAATGCTACAGTCTTGTTTGTTACAGTGGTGTTAAACTGTTATATCGTTACAGTATTGATTGTTACAGTATTAAAAAACTGTTACATTGTTACAGTCGTGATTGTTACAGTGGTATTAAACCGTTACAATGTTACAGACGTGATTGTTACAGTGGTATTAAACCGTTACAATGTTACAGACGTGATTGTTACAGTGGTATCAAACTGTTACATTGTTACAGTCTTGATTGTTACAGTGGTTTAAACTGATACATTATTACAGTCTTGATTGTTACAGTGCTATTAAACCATTACATTGTTACAGTCTTGATTGTTACAGTGCTTCAAACTGTTACATATTACAATCTTGATTGTATCAGTGGTATTAGACTGTTACATTGTTACAGTCGTGATTGTTACAATGTTTTAAACTGTTACATTGTTACAATCGTGATTGTTACAGTGGCAACTTATTGAAATAAGGATCCCATTTGAACAATTTATGAGAGAATGCTAGAATGGCATTTTTGATTGGATTATACGACTAACTGATATGATTCAAGTGGGGATTCTACTGGCATAATTAGGGGAAAATATATAATCCGTTATCCGTGAAAGTGGTCATTTGGCGAAGATATAAGATCGTGGAGCCCTAGATCATTCCAATCTTCTTGCACACAACTGTAGTCATAATCATCTGTGAATATTTTCATCAGGTTGGAAATATATGTTTTTATTCATGTTGTACTTAAATAAAAAAAAATGTTAAAATAGATAAAATAGACGACTACTTAACATTACTATTAGCGTCATGTGCCCCAATGGTGCGGTCCAAAAAGCGGACCACTTTTGAGGTTACGGCCTGGCAACGCATAGGAAATTGAGACCTATGATTGGTCAACGCCATTTGGCTATGTAATTATAGAATTTAGTGACTTTGAAGATGAAATAAGGATACGTTTATCATAAAGTTGGCTCGTAAATCATTGTAAATTCAAAGTCTAATATTACGTACGAGAACCCGTAGTGGAAACAGCTCGCAAATTTTGTTCTTAAATGATTTAAGTAATAATGTACAATGGATCATCAACACTACTCTTAAAACATGTATTGATTTTACAACGTTTTGCTGCTACAGTGAAAATAACATTATTATATACAAACCAGCAAAAACAAGTCCTTCCCCTCCGTGCTTCGCAACAGATAAAAAAAAAACACTTTTCTACATATACAAACCGTTTCCCGGGCAGTACATGTAAGCTACAATTTTGTTGTAGACATGTAATATGTAGCAAAGCTTTTGTCGTATACTTGGGTGACCTTGAATACTGTAATGGTTCTTTACGCCACTAAGAATAACACAATGCATACTTTTGTGCGACATGACATGTCTGCAGAACTTGTTTAAACCTATAAGCATGGAAAGTCCAACCTACCTTATTCGCAGTTAAAATAAATGTAATGATTGTCCCGAAAATCGTGTTTTAGGGATTTGTTTTAAAAATGGCCTCTTAAGGGTAATTTTGTGCAAAAAAAATGTTTTAAAAATTCCGTTTTTTCACTAGTATTTTGACAAAAACAACTTAAAATCAGAAATTTAAAAATAAACGAAACCCGAAAATACTCGTCGTTCGAAGAGAATTTTTTTCGATTAGTGAATTTACATAAATAACTTACATTAAATGGATTTAAAGATGGTCATCCCAAGACCCCCCCCCCCGTCCCTGTTGTGGGTGGGGTTGCATATTTATTTCATACATCGCCCCTCTAACAGGGAGGAGGAGCTACAGGTAGATCTCTCCGAGAGGTACTTGGGATTTGTCGCTGCCAACCTCGAGGGCAGACAACACTTAAGCTCCTGTTCT